ATTATTATTATTATTATTATTATTATTATTGTTATTGTTATTATTATTATTATTATTATTATAAAAAATAATCCAATGCTACCCCTTTTTTAAAAAAAAAATGAAGGATTTAAACGAAAATAGATACGAAAGAAATTTAATGCGCCGACAAGGAATCGATTCCTGTCTTATTTCGTTGAACTTCGCAACAAAGTATTTAATTTGCGTTAACAATTCTATACTCGGTCACAGCCTTTAGGGATGTAACTTGATGCACGTTATATATCACTGTTACTTCTAAAGCCTAGAAAATACTGCAGGCACGAATAAAAACCCGAGATGTTTTGTGTCAATTTAAATTTTTTTTCCCTCTCTTTACGAATAATTTAGAGTAATTACCAAGAGGTATTTACTTTTTTTTCATTATTAAATATCCGCTTTAAAAATTTCCGATAATAAAACTGATTTTCAGATATGTGTCAAATATTAAAATTGATCGAATTCAATATATACGCAAATAGTAAATTCACAACGTGTAATCTTTCTTTGCCCGATTCGTGTTGCGAAATAAAATTTATTATTTTTTATACATCTACCAGTCTATAAAATTTGTCGAAATTGACATCACACTAATGATTAAGATTATAATTCGAAGTATCGAAAGTTATGATAATCCTATATCTAAACTGAGCAACTATCGAATCGTGAAACCTTCGACGGCTCGAAGACAAGATAACCAGTAACCAACAAGGGCTTGTGTTTTTTTTTTTTTTTTTTTTACACTCTGAACACACGATATATACGACAGAATCGTATAACCAAAATCACCAGACATATATGAGAACCTACGATTTATGCTTTACTGATGCCGCATTCTGCCATATCATAACACGCTGAACGAGTGGTCTAGTTTGCAGTAGGAACTACGTAATCTGATAGCCGAAAAACTGTATCATCTGCTGAGATCTTATCGTTACCCTGATTTAGTCAGATATCAACTTCAAACATATCTTGTTCGATTGGTTTCTTAACCCAACTGCCTAGATGTGCCTTTACGAAAGCTTCCTTCAACTGATGCTTGGCAAGCTGTTGTAGAGAAAATCGAACGAAATAGTGATGAACGCAATTCGCACTGATATATAACAAAAATATTTCGACTTACCGAGTAATTCTGTACGGAAGATTTTGCATCTAAATAATGACGACACTGATTTTTATCAGCATCTTCAATAGTATTAAGTTTACCTAATAAGTTGTAAAATCTTCTGAACAGCCCTTGTTTTGATATTCTAGAAGGTTTTCCTAATTCGTCTTTTCCAGTAGTACAATTTATTACTTCAGCTTCTGATTGACCTATAAAATATATCAAATTATAATAGAATTCCTCATATACTTTTTCTTTTCTTTTCTTTTCTTTTCTTTTCTTTTCTTTTCTTTCTTTCTTTTCGTTTCTTTTTTTTTTTTTTTTTTTTCATACCGATTGTCCAATTAACGCTGTAATTAGGTGCTTTTCCAGGTTGTCTCACCTCTGACGAAGTAATAAGACTCATAAGTGGTTTATTGAGTCTGTATGGAGGCGGTAATCCTTGGATCGTATTTTCAATACGTCCGCAGACCGCCCTATACATATGGCTTGGGTTCAATAGACTGCCAAGAACGATGCTGTGGAAGTAAATTGGCTCGATGAAGTAGCTCAAGAGTGCACCTTGCACACCAAGTACATTCCACCGAGCTATTTTGTCCGAACACGACATCGTCAGCAGTCTTTGGCCCTGTAAAATGAAGTAAATATTTGCGTATAAAAGAATTCTTTATATAAGAATTGAAGATATTTGCTTCATATTTATTTAGTATATATTTAGTTAGTATATTTGAAATACATCATACCATAAGCACACCGTCCCATGTCTGGATACCCTCGCTGCTTTTTACGGGAATGGTACCTTCTCCGGATTCTATTTTAGTTCGCAATTGACCTCTTGCTCTTCGATTTGGATGTTTATCGACGGATTCATTCTCTTCGTGAGGTGAAAAGATTCTTGCATCACCACATGGTGCGGTATTTATGTACAAATGAAACTGAATGCCTTGTTTTAGTTTAAATCCTTTCTTTGCTGGTTCTAAAATAGATTCCGCAGTTCGGTCCTCCGTATGAAGTTCCAATTGTTTATACAAATATTCGCATAAACATCTTCTCGCTACCACTTCGGCATGACAATCATTCAATGCACCACCGCTGACACTCAGATGTTCTCCAGAGACACATTTTGTACCTTTGTTTATTTAAAATAAACAATATAATTTTTTCTCAAATCAATTTTGATTTATAGAAAAAAAAATATTTAGAAAAATTATGTCTCACCAGTTGTTACACATATTAATTCCGCATCTGAACCTTTAGTTTGAACAATTCCAGCTAAAACTTTACGACGAGCATGTTGCGGTTTTGATTGAATTAATTCGCTAAATTTTTGATTCACCATTTTCCCAATTTTATCAGCTAACATTTGAGGTAAAGACATTTGATCTTGCCAGTGGCCACTACTGGGAAAGTTTGGCAAAACGCGAACCGGAAGCGGTATACAGAACGAGGAACTGTGAACGTTCCTTAATTTAGCTAATGCTGCTTTACTAGCCGCAGCTTTTGCTAATTTTTTACTTGGTCCAGTTCCCTCGAATGTTTCTCCATCAATTGTCACCGATATTGTAAATTTTGCATAGCTTTCACCATTGTCAGAAACACATTTATATACTACACCAGGATATAATTCATTAATAAGCGCTACAGGACCTTTTTCTAAAAATTTATTTGTGTTCTTTGGTTCTTGACTTAAAGTTTTAAAAGCATTGACTAGATGATTATCGCGTTCTGTAACATCACTCGTAAAATCTGGTTCAAGGGGAATAGAAGGTTGACAAGTGTTAATAGCTTGATGAACTTCTGGTGTATTTCTAAACTGAACAATATTTCTTAGCGCAAGTTCAGCAGCAGCATGTTTTGCCATTTTCTTAGTACGTCCTTTGCCTTCATAAGTTTGACCATCAATTTGTACTGCTATTGTAAATATTGGAGCATGTGTGGGGCCAGTTTGGTCAACAACCTTATACACTGCACCACTTTTTAATTCATTTAGAGCACATACTGCATTCTTGGGCTGTGGATTCTTGTGACGCTTCTTTGGACTAGATGCACCTAACAAAAATAACAAATATATTAATTTGCTTGAATTATTTTCTTTCAGATCTCTCTTTGTTCAAAAAAAGTTGGACCTGAAAAATTTATAAGGTGATCCGTGTTCTGCTTGTTTCTATTAAAAGGATTATGCGTAATAATGCTAAATATTTAATAACATGATATTGAATCGGTCACTGACCTTCAAATTCCGATTCAGCAGGTCTCTTCAAAATTTGTTTGCAAATGTTTGGCTGCTCCATCTGTGAAGAGGACAACAAGCTACTGCTATGGATTTGAAACAGATTTCTGCACCAAAAATAAACTTAATTAATTGAAACTCACCCCTGTCAAGTGTCCTTCCTGTAATCCCTTTGTGGGAGATAGGGGAATGAAATCACTACCCATGGATATGTTGCAATCTAGATATTGAAATAAAAAGAATACGAATATGAAAATTGTATACACGATGGTTTATTAAAAAAAATCGATGTGAATTTCATACTTGTTTCCTTGATGTCTTTTTCATCTTTCAACACTGTTAATCCGTTCGACATTTCTTGCCCAACAGATAAATGCACCTAAAAGAAGTTCGTCTCGAAACACTGCACTGTTACATTGATTTTAATTATACTCGTGCCGTGATATGTCCGCAGCGCCACTGCTGTTTTTTTCCTAGACGATACATAACCTAATTCATCGCACGTTCCTTAATCACAAATTTTTTTATGTAATTAAACAATACGCGCCGCATATGTACGTAAAATTATTTCACATTCACGACGCGAGGAAAAATGTTCAACCGATGTGTTATTTGATTATATATTGATGATAACACACCTTATACGTACTAGCGCAGCTTGTTTACTGCGCAGAGTACTGCGCACACGACAAAGAAAACTCGCGCGGGGAGTCGATTTAAAAGACGAGACACTTCTGCTAGAATCAGGGTAACGATGCGCAAAAAGTTTACGAAGTGCAACGAAGACAGATACTTATATGTATATGATCTCTTATTTTTATATTTCTTTCTAAGAATAATCAAAAATCTTGTATCATTATTATAAAAATGTAAAATGTCGTTTCTTTTTTCTCTTCATATTCTTTAAAAATTTGTCGATATATATTATTATACATAACCAAAATATGCGATTATCATTCACGTATAAAATCATGAAAGGATTACACGAGCAATGTATCGCGTGAAGTTAGAAACAAGTCTCTTTAAAGAAATGTAAATAATTTGATCGATTGATTTCGGTAATATTTTCATAAAAATAGGCATATAAATTGGCCAAAAATATCATATGTTTGTCACTGAGCAATTTTTATGAGTAAATATATATTCTTCTATACTGTGCTAAGAGACTTTTTTCTAACTTTATATTACAAAAAAACTGAAGAACACGTATCACCTTAATTACACAGCACTTTATCTGTATTTAATAACGAATATATAGAATATATTTATAAAATAATAATTCGAAATTATTTATTAACTTACCTTCTTTCGTTATATTCTTCATTTTCATAATGTATTTGATTATAAAAAATAATAAATCCGGACTAATTTTTTTGGCTAACAACAAAAGTTCATTTAATAAATCAATTGTTAATATACAAAGATCTTCGTGATTGACAGTTTTTTCTGAATCTGTCTTTCCTTCCTCCTACGAATAAATTTGTAATTGTTAAATTAAAATTAATAAAAAAAAAAAAGATTCAAAATTCTTAATAAATTAATCACCAAAAAATCAGTATGTAATATATTTTTTATCATATTCATTTTTTTTTGCACTCTGTGATATATTTTATTTCTACGTTTTATAATTCTTCTTAATTGAGATTTCGTATTCGTTTCAACAGATTCTTTCGTTTCATTAATCCAAAGTTCGTGTGCTTCAAAATCAGTTGAATTATCATTTTCAATGGCACAACTAGAAGAAATAGATTTCATCTGTTGACAAGTTTCATCCGATTTCTTCTTCATTGAATCTTTTTTCACTTTCTTCTTGTTCATCTTCTTGTTCATGTGTTTAATAATTTGTTTATGATAGTTCCGAATGTTCGAGTATGCACGAGTGAATCGAATATTTGAATAATCGATTGAGATTTCATACTATGTCACATTTCACAATCGGGGAACATGATTATAAAGTTAGGCAAAACACGTGATATAATTGAAAGTAATCTACGTATTATATTATCTGATAATTCGAATACAAAAAATATATGAGATATAACGTGATGACGAATATTTATTTCACTTTTATATGTTTTTTCTTTTCCATCAAAAAACAATGAATCTTAAGATGTTTCACAAGTGTTTCAAGATACGTGAATTCTATGCTCCTTTGTAAACGATCACTTTCTAAGGCTTCAGGACAAAAACTATAACCGTTAAGACGTAATAGGTCCCCCACCTTATAGTAACTGCGATAGAGGGGATAGAACCCTGTTTGCGAATACGATGAACACGAATATATAAACATGACAGATACACATAAATGATATTCTTCGTAATATTGAATGTTACAATTTATATATTATATTTCCAAAATCCGGAAATATGTTTTCCTTTATTGTTATGTTTAATTGAGGTTACTTTAATTCCTTCTAAGGAAATAAATATAATTTTGATATTATACCTTCTAATATAAGTTTTTCTAAGCGTTATTCTTTTGTCTTTGTAACGTGATCACATACATTCATATACATTGAATCCGTTTTTAACGGTTTCTAGCGGTCAAATTATTTTTTCGTTTCGTTTGAAAAATATACAAATAACGTTATACTTTTTTTTTTAAATATTTTAAAATATTCATATCCATGATAAACAATGTAAAATAAAATAAATTTTTAACGATTAAAAATTCGAAATCGAGCCTAATTTAACAAGATTTAACAAGAACGAAAACGAAGAGTTCTTAACGAAAGGAACAACGAACGAAACGCACAAAGGAAAAGAATATTTTTTAACTGTCTGAAATATTTCAGTTGATCGAAGACGTATCTCAACGTTATCCTGGCTTCCAGGGGAAAAAGTTCGCAAGCTTTTTGTTCGTTCTACGGAAGACAAATTGACTTACTCCGCGACAGACAGAATAGTAAAATATTCATGGGATTCAACGTTTCTTTGAAAAAACTCGCGAGTCGTTCAATCCTTCTTTTTGCATTTCTACAAAAGAGAAAAAGAGAGAAGAAGAAACAGAAAGAAATCCTTCCACTTTTTTTTCAACACCTAAAATTTTCTCAATGCGATACGCGTCATTTCCGACATATGTAGATACATTTCGATTTATTCCGTGATTTCCTTGAATCTTGATAACGTATGATTAATACATATCGTTCGAAGGCTTTTGTTGTACACGATATCTCGATTTTCTATATCTGACAGATTATCTTAAGGATGGATGTACAAGTAAATTGGATGTACGATAAATCGATGTTGCATCCGTTCTAACACGCGGTATAAGATTAATAGATATATTAATCATTAATTAGCGAAATGTTTTGAACTGGATTTCTTGATTAATCGCCAAACGCAACCACGAGCCACGTTGATCTATACAAACTTTGACATTTATGCGAATGGTCGGATAACAATTGGTTATTGAGTCGATAAGGTCTCAGTTGGAATCTTGACTTCGAGGCAGTTTCTATATTGTTTTTTTCGTGAATCGAGAAAATCAGTGGAAACATGTTCAAAAATTACCATTTCTTTTTCATACTGGTTATAACCTTAATTTTCTTGGTAAGCGAGGATTCTTTATGAAAGGATCGAATAAAAAAAAATTTCTTTCAAAAGATTCGCGTTCCCTTTTTTCAGTATTTCGGCGAGGCTGACATTAAGAAGGATTGTCGCAAAGAGTCGAAAGTTTCATGGGGTATTCTATTGAGCTTTAATAATTATTAAAAAACTCAACAAATTTCCACTCAACTTGGTTAATTAATTAATTTAATTAATATTCTCTCCTCTCAACGTTACAGTGGCGTTGAAAAAGATGAAAGCTGGAGATATGGAGCAGGACGACCAAAACTTGAAATGCTACTTGAAGTGTTTCATGACGAAACATGGTATTCTGGACAAGAACGCAGAAGTGGATGTGCAAAAAGCACTTCGGCACCTTCCACGAAGCATGCAAGACTCGACGAAAAAATTGTTCAACAAGTGTAAATCTATCCGTGAGTGTTCCAAAATTCTCTTTTTTCCATCTCTGTATAGATTTCCTCTATAGAATAATTATCCTACATATATATATATATATATATGTATATTCAGAAAACGAAGATCCTTGCGAGAAAGCCTACCAATTGGTTAAATGTTACGTGGAATTTCATCCCGAGGTAAGTTCGAGATATCCGAATTTGAATTCGTTCCCTGACGAATTCTTATGTTACATTCGCGTTACAGGTTTTGCAGACCGTCCCTTTCCTTTAAAACTCCTCACTGAGAGAGTGATAGCCGCAGGGGAAACGCTCGAGTATATTCAAGAAAAGGAGACGAATTCCGTTTTCGCGTAATTATATATGCGATAAGAAATAAAAAAAAAAAAAAAAAAAAAAAAAAAAAAAAAAAATAAAAAAAAAAAAAAAAAAAATAAAAAAAAAAAAAAAAAAAATAAAAAAAAAAAAAAAAAAAATAAAAAAAAAAAAAAAAAGAAAAAAAGAAAAAAAAAAAAAAAAAAAAGAAAAAAAGAAAAAAAAAAAAGAATAGAGAGCTAATACAAGATTCGAAGTTGAATTGTAATTGGGGGAGGAGGGGCAGGGTGTTCACCTCATTTATCACGAATGGTATCAACAGAGCGAATCACCTTGTCGAAGGAGGAGGAAGTTTCATTTCGCGAGGTCTTCATCTCCGCTTTTGTTGGGGGAGAGATTTATTCCCTCCTGTATACGTAAGCGCAACAAACCGGAAGGAAAATCATTCAACGAGTGATCGAGCGAAACTTCCGACGACATTGCATTTTCATCGAGACATTGGCGTCTCGCGGAAATTAACTTTCACCAACCGAGCCATTCTTCTCGTTCCTTCCTCTATGTACATATATATATTCCAATCTGGTTTATGCGTCGATGTTTCTCAGAAATCGCTATTAATAAGCGATACAAGTTTTATTATAAGAACGGGAAATGGCACGATAAATCCTCCACGCTTCGTCCTCCATGAACCTACGACGAACGATTTTATCGGAAGAAAGAATTATTTTATTTACAAAAAAAAAAAAAAAAAAAAGAAAATTGTGTCTAAGATCAAGAAATTCAATTTTCAATCTCTCGCGAAGATATCGAACGAGTCTAAAATTATTCTTGGCCTTATTCCAGCGTGTCTTTAAAAAAAAATTATTCCTCGTCCACGATTTCGACATTCGTATTCAAAGATTTCGTTCGAATCGAAATTCAACCCTGTTGTCGAGGCGAAGAGAAACGCGAAGGCACGAAGTACACCCTTTCCCCCCTGTCACCGCTATTACCATTTCCCGGAATGACGATAATCTATCCTGTCGAACGGAAGAGGAGGGAACGAAAGAAACGTTTCTTTGGGCAACGTAATGCGCACGTGCCGGCCCTAACCGACTTCTGAAAACGCGGCTTAGGTCGCGTCTATATATTCCCACCGTCGTTGGAACTGGGTCACAGTTCTGCCCATCGGGGGTATTAAAACAATCCCTAAGCTCTCCGCTTGGCAAGGGTGCGGGGTGGAAGGGTGGGCGGGTGCCAAGAGAAGGGGCAAATAACACGGCGAGGGAGGCGAGGGCGACACGCGTAGGAGAAAGAGCAAGGGTGAAAAAAAAAAAAAAAAAAGAAAAAAAGAGAAGGTGATGCCGAGGTCTGGTAAGTGGCAAAAGTGGCGGCGAAAAACTAGCAAGGTTAAACAACAGGGAGACGATCATAATGATGCACCACTTTTCCTCGACTCGACTTTTCTAAAAGTGTGATTCGATCGAAGAAACTTTTATTTTTTTATAATTCGGGATAATTCGGGATTTGTGTATTTTGTATACCTTCGCTTGGCAATTTGCGTAATTCGGGATTCCAGGAATTTCGATAATTGTAAACAATCGAAAAGAGTAGAATTATTTGTATTATAACGAATTACATCCAAAAATCGTTGAATCGTTCCTTTTCTGGATCAATCTTGTCTCTTAATCGTTCGATTGATATAATTGTTGTGATAAAACACGAGAAAGTGACGATATACAATGATCCAGTCTCAGGTATGCAATATTTGTCGAAATAAGATCGAGCCTATTGAAATAAAATTTACGTGCTGTCACATTAATTTGAAATTAATGTTTCACCGTATATCGATAGTAATTTCGTTTAATTTTGTACGATCTATAACGAAAGAATTTTCCAAGGAACGTAACCAATTATATATTTTTTAAAATACTCGGACATCACGAAATATGTTAATGATTTTAAACTTTTGACCAATGATGTACACGTACCATGAGTACACGAGAAAATTTTTCAACGACCTCTCTTACTTTTATTCTTTATTAACGCGCGTCACGTTCTGAAAATTGTAAGTCTGTTCAGAGGGTGAAATATAAAATACTGGACAAGAGGAAACGACCATACATCCTGCGGCCGTTCTGGAGAGGTTCATCACGCGAATTACGCGATATCTTTACAAAGTATCGTTATTAAAGCGAAGGAGAACAGTTAGGTGGCTAGATAACTCCTGTGATCCGAAGGGATCCAATTCTCGGTCGCCGGATTAATCCGAGTGCACGCTCGTTTCTCGATTCCTCTCGATCGTATCCGTCCTCTTTTATCCTTTTATCTCGTTGCTCGTACGGATGTGAACTCCATTCGTGTTTCCATCCATTGGAAAAAAACAAGGTGGTCCATTCTTGGTCCGGGTTCCAAGCGAGGAAACTTCGAGTTGTCTTCTTCGATGATATGTTGCATCGAGTCGCAAGGTTTCGCTCGTGGTCGGCCGTGAGAGTGCAGGAACTTCAACACTTGTTCCACGCTTTCTCGACATCCGCGTTAAACGGAGAGTCGATCAGAGGATCGTCTGGATAAATTTCGAATCGTACGATCGTAGAAGGATTTCTCGATGGCGAACGACGATCGAAGTTTCGTCGAAGATTAACGATGGATTCCCTTCGAACCGAGGGGAATCGATGATCTAATATTTGAAAGATGTCCGTGTGTCGAAGTCCCGGCAGAGTTTTGCGAAACTTCGCAGCTGCTCAAAACTTTTGGTTTGCCGGTGTCCGTAGCGAGTGAAAATTATGATCGTTTCCGTGAAACTTTCCCGAAAAACGTTTCCCAATTTCGAATGTTTCCGAAATATAATATATTTTAGAGGAATGGGATCGAGACGGTACTCGAGTCATCTTCGTTCTCTCTACAATCTCTTCGATTCGTGGAAAAACGGTAATTCACTACAGTTTTTTTTTTTTCACTTACTTTTGAATAGAAAAGATAAAAAAGAAAAAGAGAAAAAGAAGGTTATCGCCGTGGCAATGATTCATGGCTGGTCGGTAATCGATAAACGGGGCACGCGTACTACGTGACCCGCTGACGGTCAAGAAATCCCTATCGGCGATTAACCGTGAAAAAATAAAATGGAGGGCAATCACCGATGAAACGCTCGATCGTAAAGCTGTGTACTGTGTAAAGAATGGAATTGAAGAGAGAGAGAGAGAGAGAGAGACACAGAGAAAAAAACTGACTTTATCACCGGCCAGAGCGGAGGTGGATATTCGATTCGGTGGCTTGTCGGGGATGGTGGCGTTACCTGGCGCCTTTCCAACAATGTGTTCACGCTTTTTACCTCGCGATAAATTCGCGTCTGATGCATCGATAGTCCAATAGTTTCCTTGATTGATCATTCGCAACGACCATGAGATCATTTCGCTTCCATGCGAAACTTGTCGATCATTTCATTTTTCCTTCTTCAAGATGGATCAAGATTCGAACGTTACCTGGGGCGAACCTGGCAATTGAAAGAAACGAAACAAATTTCAATTTTGTGTCTTGGGCTGTTTATGAAGATACAAGCGAGATTCTTTCTATTCGAACATGACGTAAATCAAAAAGTACATATAGGTAATTCTTAATTATGATTAATGAAACTAATTCGATTTACGCCTACATTCATTTTAATTGGAATAATCCTAATAATTATCGACAATATCTACTGATATTGCATAAAGATAAGATGGAAAAGAATTTGAATTGTTCTTTATCTCATGATTATTTTTCTCTTGTTTTATATTTTTTTAAGATAAGTTTATTTTACTTTTCCTAGTATATATATATATCTATTTTTTTTCGTCGCTTATTAAAATTGTGTACTATATTAGATCTTATAAAGATTAAAAAAGATTCACGAAAGACGATTGTCATTTCGGAAAAATAACATTTAATAGCATTTTTCATTTCG